ATGCTCCCAAGCTGTGCCATCTGGACAGTATCTGCATTTTTTCTGTGCAGCTTTTTACCAACTTTGACTACAAAACAGGATGTTTCTCAAACAGTAAAGGAAAAAGGGCAAAGAGTCAAGTTTGGCTTTTGCAAGAGAAAGGGGAGAAAAATATTAGTAGTTCCAGAATGTGCTCGCTAAGAAGAGCTCCTTCATGGCCGTGGGGCCAGGCTGCTTGCTTGGTGCTGTGGAGTGACCTGGCAAGAAGTGCAGTTCCTCGAGACTGGATCACACAAACATCAGCAGCACCTCCTGACTCTGTACCTTTCCCATGTGCACGTCCTGCAGCATCCCTGGGCACCACGTGTCCACCCAGCAGCAGGCACGGCTGGGCCACAGGTGGCAGTTTGCCAGGTACTGGCAATCACACCAGCAAACATCTGCAGAATTGGCAGCGTTTTATCCTGCTGACCTCATCCTTTCACTTGTGAGTGCAGGGCATGCCAGTGAAGGTGGAGTTTCATTTTCAAGTTTACTTCAGGAAACCAGAGTTACTAAAAATACTGTGAAGCTCTGACTTGAAATTTCATATAATGGCTTTAGAAGGAACCTTAGAGATCATCTAGTTCCAACCCCACTGCCATGTGCACAATTTGGGACATATGCTTGTTAAATCCAGAAAACTCAGATGAAAATTCAATGTCATCTACAGGTTTTTTTCCCCCTGTGTAAGTCTTTCTGTATCATATCTCAAACAAAAACTACATTACATGTGATTATATAGACCCTGAATTCAAAGGGGAATGTCTGCAGCAGTAGTCTCTAAAATATTTAAGACTGAAATGAACTGGGAAGTCAGGCCTTTTCTGCTAATTTTTGATAGTAAACTAAAACTTCACATTGGGCTTGTCATCTTCATGATAATGTGTGTGGTCATGGAACAGTGAGATTGCAGCAGTGCATGTTGGCATCTGTTGTTTTTCCAGAGAAGTTAAATTTATGAGGTTATTATTTGCTTGTTTTCTTCATACCTAATCACAAATTTGGATGAGAGTAGTCTTAGTTAAAACTTAAGAACTTTCAAGTCTGACATTGCTCACAGTAAACATCCTTGAGGCTACAAAGAAACAAACTAGATAAGCCTGGTAGGAGCGAACTTGACATTCCTGGTAATTATGAAATAAAATTCAGAATAATTTTGATTAAAACCCTAACCCTTCTAGTTAATTTCTAACAGATTTATATACTAGACAAACCCAACAAAAACAAAACTATATATACACTTACTTTAGTTTCTTTTACATATTCACATGATAGACCTTGCAGATTGCTTAATATGAAAAATGTTCCTATAAGTGAACTCTTTTGAATAGTTGCCAATGGGAAGTCCTGTGACTGGAATAAACTAATATTAAACTGAAGAAACCTGGAAGAAGAATCATTTTGCATTTGCCAGAAGATACACTGGAAAATCATAACTCTTCCTAATTTATATATTGGCAAGGTGTATGATCCCAAGATGAGAAAACAGACATACAAGATAAATACTGTATCTAGGAATGCCACATTGGAATAGAATCCTACTTGAAAAAATAATTTCAATATTATTTTAGAACAATGATGCAATTTTTTATAAAAGGATATTGTAGCCCTAGAAATCCCAGTGACCTCCTAGAGGAAGACTCAGGACAGAAAGAGAAAGGTGAATGGCCAGTCATTCATTGTATCTTCCTCTTCTGCCCTACCCTCCATCCCACCTATAATACCAGTTATTAAAGTCACACAATTGTTCCAGAAAGAAAGTGGCGGCACAGTTCCAGGTTAACACTGCCAAGACAATATCCAATCCTAATGAGAGATGAAATTGTAGAATTAGTTTGTTTTTTTTTTCCCTATCTGCTCAAAAAAGTTGGTTTTGGACAAACAAACCAGCAAAATTAAATTAAACATGTGGTTGATAAATGAAGTGCAGAAGAGTGTATGGAATAAAAACCTGACTTCCACAGGTACTTAAAGTGCTATTGGCTCCCATGCACTGTTATTACACATCTTTTGCTGAAAACTGTATACCTTTCACAATTTTGAACCTCCTGTGTGTTTCCTCATATTTTCAATCAAATTATTACATACTAGAAATATGCATAAGGGAAATTATTCTACACATTTTATGGTGTGCTGTTGCTTGTAGCAGTAATTGAAGTACCTTTTCCACTTATGAAAGTACTAATTTTATTTGGTTTTATTGCTTTTCTAGATGCAATTATTTATTTAGTGTGTTTTGGCTTTATTAAATTATGTTTACTATAGGAACATCATAAAAATGTATGAAAGCAACACATCAGCCACTACTGCCCAATGACTTATTTTGGGGAATCTAGTGTTATTTTTCATATCCAAACATAATAGAATAAGGTAAGAATAAAGAGATAATCTACACTGGAAAACAATGCAATTTTGAGATAATATAATAAAACACCTGGACAATATGATTTCATAAATCTTACTTCTAAAATTTACATGAGCTGGGCGTTAGAGTGGCTATTTTAGGACATGCGGCATTTTCTAAATGGAAACATAAGAAATACGATTAAACAAGGGGAAAACATATATTTATGTTAGGATTTAACTTGTCCTGAACAACTGGTTCCTACAGAACAAGGAAAATATCTCTGCCTCAACAGATGTCTGCATCAGACTTAGGAAATGTAGAGTTTTACTCCAGCAGTGATCAACAGCTTTGTTTCAAAAGTTTTATCAGATTCTTTTTTAGGAGGCTTTTCATATGCAGTGTGAAGGTCTGATGTGACACAAAAGCTGGCAGCAAAATTCTCAATACCTTCAAACAGAAACTCAATATATTGTCATACACTGAAAATAAAATCTGCAGCATTTGTTGGTGTTATTGTGGTGCCCACCTTCAATATACCTCCTGTATTTAGCTTCTGTTATTAGCCTAACTAAATAGACAGGTACATAGCATTTGAAATCTCAAAAGGAATGTCTAATTTGACATAAAAGCAAAAAATAACTGAAGTGCCTAGAAACTGAGGCTAATACTTTCAGGATAGAAAGAAGAGGGTAATATAAAAATTTTCAGGCATTACAGCAGTTGACCAAGAGTTTTTTTCAAGTCTTTAAGCCAAGGCCAGGATAGGAGAGATGTCCTTCTAAACACTGTGGTTCAGTTCAGTCTTAACATATTAACAAAGAAAATATATGTTTGATTTCTCTTACAGTCAAGATCTGTCTGGATCCACAGGAATTCCCTTTGTCATTACACCAGAGAATTCAGTGAATGCAGGAAATGTTCTATGTTGTCAACAGCAGAGCATTTGATAGTGAATGAGAACCAGAAATTAAGATGAAATAGGGCAACGCATGGAATTGGGGCAGGGAGGGAAGACAGTGTGACCAGTGAAATGCAAAGGTGCCAGCCCTGCAGGCAGTGCCCTGCAACAGGCTTGTACTCACTTTGTGCAGATCGGCTGACTTCAGTGACACCACTTGCAGCAGTGACACCACTTGCACAGATCTTTGAGAATTTGATCTGCAGGGAAGAAATAAACTCAAACTAATGCTGGAAAAGTGTAAAATTTCCCACCCTGATGTAAACAACCAGAAATGCTGAGTGTGAGCAACTGTCAAGGCAAAAGGAGAGTATTCCAGAGCAGTGCAAAGGACAAGGAAGCAGGGAAGCACAGGGACTGATTTCAGAGGATATTAGATGCTTACCTTTTTAGACAGAAGACAATACAAGACTTATTCAAACACATTTCAAGGAATCGGGAATCATTGTGTTAAATCAGAAATAAATAAGTAATAAATAAAATGTGTAACTTTTGGCCTTGGCAGATATTTACAATTTCTTCCTAACATTTAAGTACTGTGTCCTTCAGTTTTAAGTTTACAACTGCTATTTAGTAGTCTAAGAGATGCAACCTTTTCATGGTTACTTCTTGTGACTGCAAAAATTTTCATGGCTGAAATGTTTTGGTTTTTTTAATTGTCTTCTGCACTTCAACTTGAGGATAGCAGTTATCTGGGTAGAACACAGTACTCAAGAAAATTCTCCAGTTCTTCACTTGCACAGGGCTGTAGAAATTCACCCTTTTTCAGGGAGCATAAACCTCAATCTTCTGCAGATAAACGAAAATCTATTTCAAATACTGAGGGTCTCACATACAATTCCACAGCAACTATTTTATTTGTTGCTGCATTTTCTGAGGTGAATTAGACATGAACAACCCACTCCCACCTGTGAGCAAAACACATGCATGAGCACAATACAAGATTTTCCTCCTCTAAGCCACCAGAGTCTGGATGAAGCTGCCAATAGCAGTAGGCAGCTTCTGCCACACATGAGAAATTTGTTCAGTAAATCTTATTGACCATCTCCCTTAGCTAAATTTTATAATTTTAAGTCAAATTCAATCATTGTAATACAGCAGACAGTTTTGGTGGTATGGCCTTTTTTCTAAACTCTGAACTCATCTATAGCTTGGCAAAAATATTGAAATTCCACTGGAATGGCAGTAACTCTATCCAGTTTTTTCTGCCTTCTGCATATTTTTAACATTTTTTGGTTCTGTTAAGAACTATACTGGAGAGGCTCTGTGAGTGGCTGTGATTAGAGATCTAACTGGTCCAAGGTTTACATCTGGAAAGCACATCTGGCATATAGCTTTCAAATTGTGAAATCTGCAATAAATAAAATTGGGAAACTTAGTATTAAGAAGGCTGAACATTTTGCTAACATACATCTTTCAAATCTGTAATATTGGAATTGTCAAAATATTCTGTTTGTAAAATTAGAAGCAAATCTGAAATTCCTACTTAGCCCTGTTTCCTATTTTTAATACTGTTTTTATTTCATCTTCTATGAACTAGCTGTAATGCAGAGTAAACTGCTTAACAACCTGGGAGAATTAGAATGGGTGGGAGAAAAACTATACCCAATGTTATAAAATACCTACATTCAGTAGAAACAACGTCGTAACAAATTTGTTGGTTGTGTTTTGCAGCCAAAAATCGCAGAGGAGAATTTAACATATGCTGAACTTGAACTGATGAAGCCAATTCAGGAAGCCAAAGGCATTTCCAGTATGACAGTCTACGCACAGATACTCTTTGAGGAGAACAAGCTGTAATAGTTCATGCCTGTATAAATGTCCTTTGTCTGTGTTCTATTTAATTCTTGCTGTGCTGTTTATTTATAAAAATCATTCAAATGTCCTTATTTTTTTATTTCCATTTATGCACTTCTGTTTTTCTATGAGACTTTTAAACACAATGTAGTTGAAAGTAGTCATAGAAAAAGCAGCTGGTCAACAAGTGACATCCCAGAGACAGCCTTCGTGGTGTTCTGTACCTCTGTTGGAAATGGGCTGAAGCTCCACCCGGGGCATTTTGAGCACTAAACATTATTCCTTCTTTACTGCTGATATGATGAGTCCAGCTGCAAGTGTCAGTATCTTAGCAAGCGTCAGGAGGACAAGCAGCAGGATCCATGCCCATCAACCTGCTGGTGAAGGAGAAGACCACTGACCAGGAAAATGGCCACTTTAATGCATTTTGCCCCATCAGAAAAATAATAACCCAGTAAAGCTGAGACTTTCTGCTACAGCCAAGGAAAAGCTAAAATTACTTTTTCTACTTCTTTTCCCCTTCTTCAGAAATAGTTAAAAGGGTTTGTGTTCTATATTTTCAAATTCCCTTTCTAAATGACATTGTCTTAAAAAACTTATGCTACTTTTAGTATGGTGTTTGAAATAAAATATTTCAAAATAATATGAAGGAAACATTTATAGTTAAACTCCCATGATTTGAGGAAGAATATCCATAGCTTGGGAATATCTCCCAGGATTTGATTTTTTAAAATTCGGATTGAGAATAGGAAAACCTTGTTAGTGAGTAAAAAACTGAGAGAACCAGGACACTGCTTGTGGTCTTGGTTCAGTTTGGTATTTCCAAACCTGCAAAAGTTTCCTCCTGTAGCCTGCACCAATAAGCTGCTGATCTAGAGGGAAAAATTACACAGCTTCTCCTTCAGTATGGAACAGACTCTGTGAAGCCCTCCTGACTTTAGAGTTATTTCTTTGGAAAGACCAGGGCTCAGGAGATAGGGAAATGGGCCTAATGTCAGGACACAAAATAACATTCCTTTTTCTTTACCTCTTGATAACTGAGAAGGCATTATTCCTTTTCCTTTGATACAAATTCATGGGAAATGAACTATTCTGTGACATCCTGGGTATTTCAGTCACGAAGAGTAGCTGGACTGATGTTCTCAAGCTCATGTATCTTCAGTGTCTAAATTTCCCCAAAGCTCAGTGATAATTTGAATACCTAACATCTTTCAGCTCTTGGGAAGATTTAACCCTTGAGTAACTGTGCAATTCATGGAGATGTAGAGGCCTGGGCTCTTCAGGTCACCATCAGGTCACGGAGAGCCGATACTTGGCACGTGCCAGACCTTCTCCAGTCGTGTGAGGGAGCCCCATGACAGGCTGCTCATCCAGCAGTATTTAATGTGGATTTTGGAGTAGCACTCCTTGGGCTCTGGAGTCATAACTAACATGGCCCAAGTTGCTTCTTCCTTTACAGGTCACAGGCCTTTAGTGACAGAACAGCTTCTCACCAGGGCTCAGAGCACAGCTGGGAATCACCACAGGAACACTCGTGCCCTTGTTCCTGTTCCGGCGTGGGAGTGCAGGAGAGGAGGGTGGCGGGACAGTCAAGGGTGGGGACATGCATCCAAGGACAACCATGTGACAAAGCACATCACTGCCTTTTGGAGGGGTTCACCAGAATAAGCGAGTCTGTATAAACTGCTTTTTAACTTTTTCGAACAGTGGTAGAGATTAGGCAGCACACAATCTGCTATTGTCTAGCCAGGATCTGTAAATATAAAATGCAGTCATCTTCTTCCACATTGGATAAAAATCTCTTCTATAAAAAGGTATTTAGGAAAAGCTTATCAGGCTGGCCATTATGTACAGTACTAATTCCAATTCTATTTCTTCATCAAAACAATTCTTTCCAAACTAAGGGCAGCTTTCAAAAAAAAAAAATTGTTAGTAATTATTTGCATTTTTAATGTTTGCATTTGTGAGTTGTCAAAAAATATGTTTCATCTTTGCATTATTCCAGGATTTAATCACCCACCAAAAGGGCATGGTAGCTTTCCTTGTTCTCTAATCAGGTGCTGGACTTTCAGTGACAACAGCAGTCAGCTCATTGACCAAAACCAAATTGGTGCTAATGAGTGATTCAAAATTCAGGGATCAATTTTGAAACAGCCAGTTTAACTGACTATTCAGAAAGGACATCTGTAATGCAGACAGCTGTTCAAAAGGCCTTAGAAAAATATAGAATTTATTAGTTGCTACTTTGGAATTTAAAATCCTAACACATTAATGATTTGATCACTTAGCTGTGAAAACTTTCAGATTTGGTTACATTTCTTTTGCATAGAACTGGCTATTGTGCCCATTATTCTGAAGAATCCTCTACTGTATATTTATGCCCAGCATGTTAATGAATACCATTCTTGATGTATTAATATCCTATATATTCCTGTTTATGTTTGATATCTAATTCCCCAAAATAATAGTTAATAGAACTGAATAAATTACCTTTTTTTTTTTTTTTAAGATTTGTTGTCTTAGTCTCTGTAGGATTTATTGCTTCTTAGAGAGGGATATTACTTCCTAGACTGAAGGACATGTGTTTATCTCTTACACAGCATTTAGAAAGTCACAGTATTTGGTATTTGGAATTGAATTCTTAATTCTGCATAAAATTCTAGCTTTTAAAATGTTTTCTATTTGAAACTGACTTCAGATGCAGCAGAATCCCGAAAGGCAACAGACCAGCTGAGTGAAACAAGGCCAGAAATATGACTTGGGAGTACACCCATCTTCCCAAGAAGGTATTTCCTGTATCTTTTCTTATGCGATGTCCACCTAGATTTAATAATGTCAGATCATATCACCAGGGAAAGGAAAAATATCATCCTGCAATTAATTGCATATCTGTAAGTGTCAAAGCAGCCCACTGAAAGCCTACAGAGAAGAAAATTTCATTGAGTGTAATATGCTTTAGTATGAGAACTGGAGAATAAATGGATTTAGCTCCTTTTAAGAGGAACTGTAAGGCCAAATTAATCCCTGGCCTAATTCTCTCTGGCTTTAGCAGAGCAGCAGCAGAGCTGAAGGTGGCCCATGGTTCTTTTATGACAGGAGTTCCCATGAAAACTCTTACTACCTTATTAAGCAGCAGTTGTAGTCTGTTGAGTCATGCTATTTTGGTTACTCCTTCTGTTGTCATTGGTAAAACATAGTTTTGTGCTGAAATCTTAACAAGTACAGCTCTATTAGCTTCACACCAATTTAATATCAGATTGTTAAACGTTAATGTACTGCACCCTATAGCTTTAAATAGAATTAGATATGTTTACAGCTTTGGTTAAATGCACCTTGTTCCTCCACATTAAATTTTATTACTAGAATCCTCCATCAGCAAATAGGAGTAAATCATATTAGTGTCGCAGGCTGTGTGGGGGTTGAATCTGCAGCCCAAGGAAAAGGTATTTTATTACTCTTTATTACAACTTTCTAATTGGTAGGTGTGGTCAGCGTGTCATTATCTCTGCAATTGCAAGCAAATTATTTGTTTTAGTGTAACTGGAACGTAATTGTGGGGTTCTCTTCATTAAAAAGTTCAATAAACTTCTGTCCTTAGCCAAGGTTTGGACAGGTGCAGCTGGCAAAGAAGGACTCAGATCAGAAAAGATGGCATTTAATGTTTACTTTGTAGGTTAAATTCTGCTTTTAAAGGGCTTCTCCAACACACCTCGAGTGAGTGACATCTGGGTGCCAAGATCCTTTTTGGCTTCAGCCTAACCTGCCAGGGTAAAAGATAAAATTCCTAAATTTTACTGCATAATAAGTGGTCCTCTGAATTTTCTACAGTGATGTGAAATGTACTCATTCCACGTGCTTTGTTTCACCGGCAGGTTTGATTCCGTGTCGCTGCCTTGGTTGGGCTGGTCAAAAGACTGCATGTCAGTGGAGGACTCTTGCACAGCAATAGGAATTTCAGGAATCCTCCGTGTCTTGGCACCTTGTGTCTCTCTTCTTCCTTACCAGCATTGCTGGGCTGTTTCCAAACCCCTCAAAGGGCTTTTCAGTCTTCCACCACTATGGTCAGAAATGTTTTGGCAGCCCTTTGTGAGCCTTCTGCTGAGACCTGCTCGGGTTTACATTTTATGTAACAGAGAGGGTAACTGCAGCTGTATTTCTCTGCTGTGAGGATCTAAGACCTGGTCTCTGAGAATCTGTCCCTGCATCTTACAGCAGAGAAGCAGGAGGTCATGTCCTCAGAGGCCATAGGCAATCTCACTTGGATTGTGATCCTGGCTAGGGAAAAACTTAGGGGAAAGGGACTGGTTTGGTCAAACTCATGGACGTAATTTGAGTTAAGCCTTGTTAAAATCCTATCTCTTTGTCTGTAGCAGTATTTTGACATAAGGAAGTGAATTCAAACACAAGAGTGCTTTTGGGCTTTGTACATAGAGCTGTGACAAGACAAGATCACCTCTGGGGCTTTTGCCTTCCTGTTCCAGGCTGGCATCACGTAGGGCACAGTTAACAGTGATACACAACTACTCACAACCCCACATCTTTCCTTGAGAAATTAGCCATTGACACTTTTGGGTTATCCTGAGGAATGAAGAGGCCTGCAGGAACTTCTCTGACTGCTAAGACAAACTCTCCTGACACTGCAGAGGATGGAGGACCACAGCACAGAACAAAGACATCACATAAAATATACAGGACAAAAAACCACGTGTGGATGGGAACAGCTGTCACTTTCAAACAGTAACTGATGCAGGTTCTCCCCTTACCATGAAAGCAAGAAGTCATTGAATACTGCTCAGTGGTGCTGCACCACTTCCTCCACCTCTGATTCTGCCTGCTGTGCATAGGAACTAGAATGAAAACTGCTCAGTGATCTCTGTGAAGGGGTTTTTCAGGCAATCAATTAAGCAGCTTTACACAACTCTTTCCCCTGAACTAGTCCTGTGGGGCTGAAGCCAGAGAGTTAGGCCAGGAATTAATTTGGCCTTGCAGTTCTTCTTAAAAGGAGCTAAACCTATTTTTTCCTACGCTTTTCACGCTAAAGTATATTATACGTGGTGAAATTTTCTTCTCTGTAGTCTTTCACGGGGTTACTTTGATATTTATAGATATGTAATTAATTACAAGATGATGTTTTCCTTTCCCCAAGACCTTATTAATATCAAGGTGGACATAGCATAAGAAAAGTTAAGAATCATGGGCTAAGTGCTCAGGTCAGAGGAAGATCAACAATTTTCTATTCACCTGTTATTTTCTCCATGACACCTCTTCATCTTAAATGATCCTGCTTTGCAACTATACTCTGCTCTTAGAGGAAAAAATGCCCTTCAAATCCCTCAGACAAACATAGCTATGCTCACTTCTACCTCTACTTCCTCCTTGCTTGCTCTCAAAGAACAACCAGAGAATAGAAGAGGAACTAACACAAAAGCCAAAATTAGTAAATCACCATGCACATGATTACAGCAAATGGCAAAGGCCGCTCCTATGCATCACTATAAAAAATAACACTAACTGGGATGCTTTGCAATTTCCTGTACAACCCATAATTAGGTTAGATAAGAAACTAGCAGTGTCTAAGTGCTATAAATGTCTAAATTAAGTTATTTTGAAAGTGCTTGGCACTTTGACATTTGAGAGTTCAGAGTAATTGGGGTATTGAAATAAAATTGCTTCTGTTATTTAAAAGGTCATTATCTTCTTCGGGTAGATATATAAGGACTATTTTCTACTCTACTGAGCTGGTCTATTTGGTTCAATTAGACCTGCTTCAGTAGATTTCTAGTGGGCCTCCTCCCACTTATCACAGCCCCAGCACTGGCACAGAGAAGGGCCTGTAAATATACAGCCCAGATATGGAGTATATATTCAGCTCATAATCAGGCTCTGAAGAGCCCCAAGCTTCCCCCATGGACGCCACAGGCTGCTATACAAGGTGGCAAATGAGTCCTGACACAACAAAAGCCAACAAATGCTGGCTGAAGCCAGGCAGACAAAGGCTTTGGAGCAAATCAGGATTTCACCTTCCCAACCAAATAATCTCATAGTCTGGCAGTAGCTCTGGTTATTTCCATAACTACTGGAATTCCTTTATAGCATTATCATTCACAACATCCACGGTCCCACTGTCACACAAAGATATGCCTTTTGCTTACTTACTGGATCTGGTACTCTGCAACTATGTAAGTCAAAGGTGGGAATTTAAATGACTGTACCTTGACTGCATTTGATTTTGATCAGTCCAGCAGTGTCAGTAAAATAAGGAGTAAAAGACATGGACATCGGCTGAGGAGACTTAACTTACCACCACTTCTTCACTGGAGATGCCACAGCCAGGAGATGGTAGGGAATGGACTGAGCACCAGAGGGGAAAAAGAGCACTCTCAGCCCTGTGGCTTACTCCATGTGCTCCCCTCAGGAGAGCAGAGCATTCCCTCAAAACTGGAGTAGATATGGGAGCAGGAGATTTTGTTGTCTCTCTTGGCCAGAGAACTCTGCTGACATGCTTTTAGTACTCACAGTACATACGATTTATGTAGTTTGGGAAAAATTCTCTGGAGCTAGAGAAGAACCCAAAATGTTTTCAACTAAGCATTGTTGTACAGCAAATCATTCCTAATGAGAATTTCTACCAGAACAAAACTGCAACCCACTTCTATTCATCTATCTTTTATATTCTCACAAATTAAAGTTCCTTGAAGATGAGGAAAGATGAAGATGCTCAGCTTGGGAAAACATTTAACATGCTGACTTCCATTCACACAAGCACACTCTGGACCTGTTCTCTGTGAGTTAAAACAGATGTTGCTGAAGCAACTACTGAAGATTTAAGAGAAGTGATGTTGGGCACAAGGAGCTGAGCCTGTCAAATCCATGCATGGCCAGCCTACAGCTGGCCTCTTCTTATACCAAACAAAGACAGGTTGATGTCTGGAGTATTGGAGGCATTAGTGCAGCTGCCCAGGCTGTACAGTGAGTGCCACTGCCAGCTCTAGAATAGGGAGCAACTGCTCCCAGCAATGACAGGCTGCATGGAAAGGCTGGAGGAGGAGGCAATTTGCAAGCTATTCAAGATGCTTACCAGGTAAATGAAAACACAGGTAGTGACCTTCTTTCACAGCTCTTAATCACCTTTACCATGGTTCAGTAAAGCTGTATTTGCAGTTGACAGAAATCCAAGTTTTGCTGTCCATGTATCCAAATCTCAGCTTATTTCTAAGGAATGTGCAGAAGGAAGAAGGAGTACACTTTTGTTGAGCAACTGACCTTTCCCCTGTCCTCAGGAAAAATATAGGCACAGTTCACCTTTGCTCCACATTTTGATTTGAATGTTGGTGTGTCTTGGCTTGTTTTCAGTGTTTCCCTGAGCACAGAAAGATTAGTATTTGACTCATCAAGTCATGCATGTGGAGGTCAGAAAGGAAGACCAGACAGGTCATCTGTGTAGACACAATGCAGACTTCCTTGGATGCCTGCATCATGAGCTTACATCTAATTGCTGCA